GTGGTCAATCAGGAAGGGTGGGGCTCGGATTGTGGGCCTTCTGGAGAGTTCTGCTTTGAGCTGCAAGGAAATCCTGAGCCCTGGAGGGATTTTTGAGCCTGGCTTGGTTGAACTTGTGCCAGTCTGAGAGAATTATGAAAGTTTGTGTTTCTCATCAGGGAACCTTTTTCAGAAACAGGCTTGGGTAGTCTGGTGCAAATCATGGTGAAGATGCAAAAAGATTTGGGGAAACTGGTTTGAGATTTCTGGGTTAATGTCTTTTCTTTGCCCTGGTTCCTCTATCTCCCACAGGGGGGTGATAATAGATAATAGTAATGACTCATGGTGCTTTGATGTGCCAGAAGCCTTTCACTTTACATGCATTGTCTCATTTAATCCTAACAGTGCTTTTAGGAAGATTCTGAGTTACTATGGCTGAATCCACTGAGGCACAGATAGGCTAAGTAACTGGCCCAAGAGCACAGAGGAGGCAGGTGGCAGCACTTAGATGCAGAGCCCACACAATGAACAACAGTGCTGTGTTGATGTTGGTCAGCGCCAAGCATGCCCTTTGTGATGGAGAATTACTAGGTGGCACTCACAGCCCGAGGAGAGAGATAGTTGACATGTGCAGTTAAGGGCTTTGGAGTGAAACCCAGCCGTATTGGAGGCTGGGCATGTTGCGTTTATCTGCGTGCCTTTGAGCACATAAATGACTTTGCCCCACTGGGCCTCATTTATAAAATGGGTATAAAAACACCATCCCAACCTCATGGGATTCTTGGGAGCTGTGAACTCATAAGCCCAGTTTAAAAAGGAAAAAGAGAAATATTTCCCTTGCTACACTCTCTCTCCCAATATGTATTCACTCCTGGTGTTTCTCCCACTCAGCTTTTTATCGATCTATAATTAGTCTCTCAATCATTCTATACTTACTAGCCACATGACCATGGGTCTGTTTTCCTCTGGGCCGCAGTTACCTGGTCAATAAAATGGATACTCAGAACCTACCTCTTTGTAGAATTGTGGTGAGTTGTAAATAAATTGATATTTTGTATTTAGAACAGTGCCTCCCAGACAATAAGTGCTCAACACAAGGTGTTGTTACTATTAGTTGTTTCTGGCTGTCCTCCCATGAGGGCAGGGACCTTCCCGTAACAGTGTCTTTGGTAACCCAGGTGTGTAGTAGTTGCTCAGTGACTATTTGTTGACTGACTGGTCCTATTGTTTTCTTCTGAAGTCAGGGCCGCCAGGTGAAACATTAGGAATCATTTTTCTTCATAGTGAGCACACAGACCTCCGTGGGTGGTGTATTTACACAAGGTTAGACCTGCCTGGTACCTCACTGGGAGTTTCTCTACACCCCGGTTTCTCAATCTTGGCGCTATTGATGTTTTGGGCCTGATTACTCTCTGTTGTGAGGCTGTCCTGTAGAGTATTTAGCAGCATCCCAGTTCTCTATCCACTAGATGCCAGTAGCAACCCCTCTCATTGCCCAGTTGTGACAACCAAAAGTGTCCCCAGACATTGCCAAGTGTCCCTTGGGGGACCTGGTTGAGAATCACTGCTCTACACTGTTGTAAACACCCGAGCCCCCTAGAAGTGGCACCTGATTGATGCGGGAGGCATGTACTGAGCTCCTACTGTTATTATCATCCCTTTTCTCCATAGCCACCTACAAATACCTTAAATAGTTAAACATGCGAACATGATCAGAAAGCAGAGTTGTTTAGTTATTATGATTACTGGTTTTCTGGGTGTTCCTGTAGGTCTTTGCACACCCAGAGTGCACACAACCTCTATTCTTTCACCTAGGTTCTATTTCTGGCCTTTTTTCACGTGGATTTTGTTCTGTGCCAGTTCATACAGATGCGATTCCTTCTTTGTTCCCTTATTGATGGGCACTGGTGTTGCTCCCGTCTTTGGCTTCCACCAGCCATGGTGCGTTGGCTACCCTCTTCTGTCCTTCTGTGCACTGCTGAGCCCGTAGGCGAGAGGACACGTTCTCAGAACCACCCCAGTGATATCTGAGTGTGGTTAAGCATCCCTTTGACCAGGGTAATTTGGCTGACATTATGGGTCTGAAATCTTTGCTTCCCCAAAGGAATGTGACAAGGTGACTGTAGGCCTGTCATTTCTTACTTGGTGTTTTAGTAGAGAATTTTCTCATCTTCATTAAGGTGACTTTCAGAGAGGCTGGACTCCGCACGGGGTGTTGCTTGGTTACTGGTGGCACCTCTTCCCTCATCCACCCTCTTTCTGAAGTCTTTATTTCCCTTTTCTTCTCAACCCACTTCTGTGCTTCGGCTGCTGCCGGCACAGAATTGTCTTTTTGTTTCTGAATTGGCCCTCCGATGCCACAATTCCCCATGGCAGTTTGAAAGCCACCGGCACCTGAGCTTGCCAGAACCTGAGCCTGTGAGACCCCGCAACCTGGATGAACAATGCAAACTGGCCTCAGCCACCAGAGCTGGCTCCTCTGCCAGCAGCAACGTAAAGGCCAAAGGCAGCTGGTGACTCCACTTCCTTGATGGTGATCTGGCCAAGCTTGAGGGGCCTCAGATATGTACATATGTTGCCTGCCGACTTTGGGTGGGTGGGGGAGTGCTTTTTTGTAGGGAGTTAGGCCCTGCCTCTCTGTAAAATTTGAAAGAGCTTGGCATTCTTGAACCAGGAAATTCCTGTTGTGATGTTGTCATTTTTTCCAGAGGGCCTCATCCCAGCTGAAGAGGAGAAAGGGCCCAGGTTGCAATCGCCTCTCCTTGTTAAGGGCTAAACACTGAATTCACTTGTAAATCAGCCTCTTTTGCCTAGATGGAAGCAATTTCTGTCCTGCTAGGCGAGTTTGGAAGTTTACCTTTTACATATGAATGTGTCCTTTAATCGCCACTTGTGTGTTATTGAGGGGGGGCAGGCGGCTGTGTGTAGGGGGAAAGGACTACACCTCGGGCATAAAAGATGGATTTCTCGTTTCTAGGAGAGGCGCTTCAGAACTGAAGATCATTTGGAAGAATTATTAAAAAAATTTAAAACACTTTCAAAATGCAAACCACAACCACCCCCCTCCCCACAAACTCCCTTCTCATATTGTCATTTCAGCCAGCAGAACAACTGCGATTCCTTGTATTTATTCACATCCACTGAAATAATTGGGTCTTTGGTGTAGTGCACTGAAAACTTTCAGCCTAGCCGAGCTGCTGTCTTGGGTGATAAATTAGAGCCAAAGCCTGGGGACATGAAGGCAAGTGGCCGTGCCTCAGACTGCCTGATTGCAGAGAGGTTACGGTGTCCTTGCCCCGCCGGGCGATCTAATGTGTACAAGTCCGGGGCTGGCCTGGTAAGTGGTGACTCTTAGCCTGTCCTCTCTGCTTCTTCCTCCTCCCCCTGGGAGAGGCCGCTGAGGATCCGGAAGCAGGAATGTCTGTGTGTGAGCCTGTGTTCTCTTTTAGAAAGACATGCGAGGCCCTCTGAGCAGCCGCGCCTTCTCAATGGCAGGTAAGTGCCCCTTCCCGGTGTTACCTGCCCCTCACTTGCTTTGTGTCCAAGGTACCCAGGATTCCTGGTGAAATGACATTTTCTCCAAGTTGAGAGTGACCTTTTCGTTCCACTGCCTCATTTCCATGCCAGCCCTTCTCTTCCTGGTTCTGGATGAGAACTTCCCATCCATATGTGGGGATCCTTTAGAAGCAGCGTGTAGGCGGTGCGCGGCTTGGGAGGAGACCGCTCCTCCTGCTAGCTTTGGCAGGCCCAAGTCAGCCACGGTGCAGCCTCGTCCTCCAGGTCCTGTGGGTCTAGGACACGTTCTGTGTTGGAGCAGATGAGAGCTGTTCTCACTCACATGGTCCTCGTGGCTTAGGCACTCTCTGCTGTAGGGGAAAATTTGCCCCCTCCCTACCCCCTGTACTTTGCTCTTGATTTCTTATTCCTGCTCTCTGCCAGGAGGAAATTCCAGGCTTTTGTTTTTTTATGATGTAATTACTGGTTGGGGAGGGCCCGAAGATTCCTGGGGAGGGAGGCCCATTTGGATACCTGCTCTGTGTCTCTGGGCCTGGCTTTGAAATGATTAACCGTGCTCTGCTTTTCTGCTTCTGGGAGGGCAGCAGCGTGTGGTCATGTTTGAAGTAGGCCGTGGAGAAGGCTGGTGATTGCTGAGAGTGTGACTGCGGTCGCATGCTGGCCTCTGCAGCAGACCCTGCCTTCGTAGTTACCCGGAGGAAGGCTGGGAATTTTACAGTCTGATTGAAATGCAGAAATCATGTCCTGGGCAGATTTCAGTCTCCACTTTATATAGACTGACATTTTTCATGACTTTGAACTTACGGGATTGAATTAACATTCTCCTTTGAGAAAGCAAACTCTGTTTTTGGAGTGGGGTGTTGGTGGGGAAAGAGGAGGAAGAAAAGGAGGAGGAATGATTGTTGCTTTAAGAAAATAGTCACCAGTGATCGAGTGGCTTACTCTTTGCTAGGAAATATACTAAGAGCTTTACCTGAATTAGCTCATTTAATACTTTGATAATGCCACAAGGTACCATTATCTCTTCCTTAAAGAATAACAAAGGAACAGAGAGGTTAACTGGCTTCCTTAAGTTCACGCTGCTGGGAGGAGCAGAACTAGGTTCTGCATGCAGTTCTATGCCAAAGAGCCAATTCATGACAACTGTGCCATTCCGCCTGTCATCTGTGACCTGGTCCACTGAAGCAATTGCCCTGACTTTGTGTGTAGGGTGACAATCTTGTCCGTATTTGCCTGGGACCTGGCCAGCCACACAGTCGGTCGCCGTATGCCTGTGGCCTGCCATGCCTGTCTCGGCCTGTTGACCGAGCTTCTCTTTTCATTCAGGCCCCAGCAGGCTTGCCGTCGACATCATTACCATTACGGAAATTTAACACCCACAAAAACACTTGAAGCTCAGGCCTTTCAGCTGAGGCCCTTTCCCTGGAGGGAGGAGACAATTCCCTGTAATGGTGTGTCATTTCCTAGACCCCAGAGGACAGTGAGTGCTGTGACTCAGGCGCCGGATGCGGGTGGGGGGTGGGGGCGCCTGGTTTGGCCTGTCGGGGAGGCCTGGATGGAGATTGCAGAGGGGGAGGGGAGATGGCCCTGGAGCCTGCTGCCTATTTTGTCGCATAGGGCAGGCTCTGGTGCCACTGTTTGAAGTTTGGGAGGTGAATGTGCTTCCTGGGGACTGTCTTTGAGAGAATGGTCTCATTTGTGAGGGCACAGACCTTCTCCAAATTCCTGGAACTCTTTGTTGGACCTTGCCCACCCCTATACTTCCATCTGCAGTTGAGGGAAAAAAATAAAAAAGGGCAAAATGAGCGTATTCTTAAACAATAGACCTTACGTGAGGAAGTTCTTTTACTGCAGAGCTGAGGCCCTCCTAGTTCAAGGCCAAGCTGTGTAGTGATTTGAACGTGGGCTTGGGAGTTGGACTGCCTGGGTTCAAATCCCATCCCTGCCTTTTGGTGGCTGTGTGATCTTGGGCAAGTGCCTTAGAGGGAACTAAATGAAAAGCATATCACATGTAATAAAAGAAACTCAGCTGTTAGTAGCTGGGCTCAGGAAAGCAAAGAGTCTGAGTTATCTCAAAGTAAGGCAGTCCTTAAGTCAAAGGACATCAGGAAGTTCTGAGTGGAATTATTTCTGGTGGTTTACAAGACACAGGTTTGGGAAGGATCTCATCATATACTTGGTTATTAAGATTTCAGTGAAATGTCACATACAGGGGAAAATTCTGCTGCTTTCTGCTCCATGCCAAGCAGTTTTCCTGAGTCATTGCTCCATCGTTTTGCTGGAGGCAGGTATTCCTCCCTCACCCATGTTAACTCACTCAGAACCAGACTCATTTTGGGGGTGGGGTGGGAGGCAGAGGGTTGCTAGTGGGCCACCCCAGTAGAGTCACAGGTCCTGCTACCTGAGAGAAGGCAGCAGAAAAGTCTTTCAGATCACAGATGAACCCTTTGCCAGTGATTCAGTCTACAGTGGCCGTTTGTCATTGTTCCAAGTTTATAGATGAAAGGTGCTTAGCAATACATCCTCATCACAATTAAATCATTAGAGAAGAAAAAAAATTTGACTCAGCTTTCTGGAAAAGGTCCTTATGTCGGCTTTGTTGCCATGACTACAGCCAGTTTTATACCCCCCCCCCCATTCTGTCATCACCAGAGGCCTAACCCCCTCTGGAGGGGAGGTGTTTACATCATAACGCTGACCTGCTGTCTCATACCTCCAAAGGACAAGGATGCTGAATGCAGCAGGCTTTTCCTAATTTTTCTCCCTAAGAGCTTTCATTGAAAGCCCCTGCTGTTGACGGATGTGTCTACTGTTTGGAACCTATTAAATTTCTACCCTTTGGATACAACCACTGAACTCTCATTAACTCTGGTGGTAGTCGATGTGTTTGTAACATTGAACAGAATTGGGGTTTTCATGTTTTGTTGCGATTAGAAGGTCTGGAATACTCTTAGGTGTGAGCAGCCTTGGGGCAGACCACCTCCTCTTGCTGAGCAGGACCTCGGTTTCCCTTTTTGTTTCCTGGGGGGCTTGCGCAAAACTCCCTGGCCAGCTCTAAATTGCTTGTGAGTGTATTAGTTTCTAGTGGGGTTTTTTTCCTCTTTCCCATAGAATTAAAAAAAATTTAAGTACAATAGAGATTTTAAGACCCTTTTGCCCTTTATAGTTTTTTTTTTTTGTCCTTTTTGAGACCAGCCGCAACACGCTCAGCCAGTGAGCGCTTTGAGCGCACCGGCCAGTCCTATATAGGATCCGAACCCGCAGCGGGAGCTCCGCTGTGCTCCCAGCGAAGCACTCTCCCAAGTGCGCCACGGGCTCGGCCCTGCCCTTTATAGTTTTTTTTTTTTTTCCTTTTTATCTTTTTTCGTGACCGGTAACGGGATCGCCACCCTCGGTGTCGCGCCCGTACCGCGCTCAACCAGTGAGCGGACCGGTCTCTATATGGGATCCGAACCCTTGGCAGGAGCACCGCCGTGCTCCCAAGCACCGCACTCTACCAACTCCCCCCACAACCCGCTCCCCCAATATTATTATTA